CTACCAACTACTAACCCAGCATCAGTAATGAAAACATCATGTAGCCCAGATGATGTTTAACAATAAAGATTAGTCTCTTGATTCTTTACGATCTCTAAACTCTTTGCCCACTAATTAAGTAGTGTTGCGATTCTCATGTACAACAATTGGTTATATTGGAGTTAGTATTTATTGTAGGATGCCAAAAAAGTCCCGATAACAAAAGAGCAATAATAAATCTAATTCAATACTAACCAAAATCAAATTCTGAACAGAATTTATATATTTCTTATCTCAGTTTATTTCAAAATGTTAAAACTATCTGTAACTATCGATGAAATTACGGCTATAGCTCAGTATTTACAAAGCAATCTTACTAAACAATCTGGTGTATGTGCTCGAAAATGGCGCCGATTTCAAAAGAAAGCCAGCAGATTTCTGGCCCTTAATAACAAGCTATACTATAATAGCACTGAGAAGAAAGTGTGGGGTAATCAGTTGCTGGAGGTAGTGTCAAGATGAATTGTGGTCAAACACAGGCCATGGTGAATTATTGTTAAATACTGATAGGGAGGAATTGTTGCCTAGCAGTGCTCTGGATGGCATATCATAAGCAGTGACCAGAACAAATAAAGGCATCTTCTCGACTGTTATACTAACCCAATACATATCTAAGAGATCTATAATTGAGTTATAAAAGAGTAGATTGTGTTTTTTAGAATATCCCAAAAAGGAAAAAAAGAGCAAATGACGTCATCTTTCCTTTAGTTTGGTAGACAATTTCAAAATAGCCGCAAAATAGTGCGAATTCGAATGGGTTTAGTATTTCTATGTATAATGTCCCAAATAAAGCATCTTTATTACTTTCTATCCCACCCGCCTCGAAATTCCCAATACTAACCCAATACCAACCCAATACCAACCTAATACCAATCCAATAGGTTCACTTTTGGCAAAGGAGATTGTCTAGGGCTTTTTGGCATGTGGCTTTTTATAGCTCCTACATTCAATAAATCCTACAAGCTTCCGGCCTGACTATGTCTTGGTAGAAGTACTACTGGTTGAAAACAGCGTATTGCCACTCAATAATACGAAAGTTTGGTTTAGTATTAGTTGTTGCGGATTTTGATTCTTTGGCCATTAAGTCTTACTTCCTATTCTATGGCCTATTACGTCATCAACCATCTTACCCTACCACCACCTAATCCGGCATCTAAATTAGTACACATACTGAACTATAACACATAATAAACCAACTCATACTAAACTATAACTCATACTAAACTATAACACATACTAAACTATAACACATACTAAACTAACTCACTATCTAAAGACTGAAGATATTAAAACTTAATGTTGTGGACCTTGGCACCTATACTTATAAAAGATACGCTTCCTATGCCACCCAAATGTCTCTCACTCTGGCGGACCGGCCAATAAAGGTGTCCGTGGCGAATGAGAGTTAAATCCTGGGTTACCAAAAAGGGTAATATTTAAGCAAAATTTTAACCAAAGTTACGTTGAATGAGAATTGAGAAATGTTACTTTTGTTCTGGTAGTATATATCCAGGCCACGGATCAATGTTTGTTAGGAACGATGGGGCTGAATTTCGGTTTTGTCGATCTAAATGCACTAAAAACTTCAAGTTGAAGCGAAATCCTCGAAATGTCGCTTGGACTAAGACTTATCGTAAAGTTCGTGGCAAAGACTTGGTTAACGATACTTCACAAGCCTTTGAACATCGTAATAATGAGCCTTTGATCTATAACAAAGAGATATACGAGAAGGTTATTCAAAGTATGCCAAAGATATCTTCTATTAGACACCAACGAGAAGCCTTCCATATTAAGAACCGAATTCTTAGTGAGCAAGAGAAGCAGGTGGAGAAAGAGCGAGTTTTTATTATCAAGAATGTCGATGCCTTAACTGCCGAAGAACGACGATTGCAAACTCTGGAAAGAAAGCGAAAGATCCGCGAAGCCCTCAAATTACCATTTGAGTAATAAAAGATAGTTAGTTAAGTGCTGGTTTGGTTGTGTTTAGTGTTGATTTGGTTGAGTTAAGTATTGATTTGATTGTTATTTTAATGGGCAGATAAGGTTGGTGAGTTTCCTTTTTAGGTAATAGTTGAAGATTTGGCTGGGTGGTTGTTTAGTGTCGAAAGTTGTATGTCATAAGTTGTAGGTAGCTTGTAGTTGACTCTAACTTAATGGTGGTTTAAATCAGTGAATTGAGTTAGTATTTGGGTTGCTGGTTCTTGGTGCTAATGAGATGGATTGGTTTGTTATAAAGAGATGGATTGGGTTAGTTTGAGTCCAATTTATTGATTGAGGTTTGAGTGGCTGGGGTGAGTAGCTGGTAATAGTGAGGTTGGATGGGCTTAGAATTGGTTGGTGGGTAGTGACTAGATCAATTAGTTTTTAAGAATTGGAAGCAGAATTTCCTTATTAGGAAATGGCTGGTTGTTATGTAGTGGTTTTTTTCTGATCTCCTTTGATTCTATGATGTTCCTCTGTAAATCTGCGTTGATTTGGCGATTTAAAGTAAGTAGGTTTTGGATCATGGGAATGTGTGTTTTGTTGATCTTGTTAAATAGGGTTAGTGGAGCTCCTGGAGTATCTATAGGCTTACAGCCGACTTGGAAAACTTCGGGTAGGATGATTAAGACCCTGAAATCACTTGGCTTTATGTTTAATCAGCACAACTCAACTGTACAAGTTGCGAGGTACACTTCTAGAGGTTCTAGTACTGGTATCCCAACACTAGATCTGTCTTATCCAATCCTCTTATGCACTCCTCGATGGCAGGTAAAGTGTGATTTTGAGCGTCTCTCCTTTATACTTCCGAATTATGCGGATGCAACAACGGCCAAGACGGCTTTGACTGATTTAAGAACGATTGCTGTTGTTAAAGTGAAGTACGCATGTGTTTTTTATCAAACACCCAATATAAACTGCCAGAAAGAAAGTATGAAAATCTTATCTCGGGTTATTAACATGATTGATTGTTGTTATTTGGAGCTGCGCTTTAATGACTCTTTGTTAAAGGAAGTAGACCCAGCCGTCTCATATTTGACTGAGTGTCGGTCAGAAGCACGTAACACAGTCCTGCATGCGAATTATGAATCGAAATGTCAACTTAATGTGGCCATTCAATTGGTGAGTACTCTTACAAGATTGATAGATAGCGAAGTTGTTTTGCAACGGCCTTTAGCATCAGTTTACTTGATGGGCGATGAATTTAAAAGCATCCATCTTCTTAACCAACTACCACTAGTAGATAACTACGCTATTTACCTTTCGCAGTTACCTGCTGTAGCTAACATTGATTTTGGGTTTCTTCAATCGTCGTCTTCCAAATGTGGCCGAATCAGTCTTATTAACAACCAAGGGGTAAAACTAACGCTAACTGGTCTTGATAATGCTATGAACAAACATCCAGAAATAGCCTTGAATGTTAGCTGGGAAACTCTTCTGGATCTGATTGAGAATGACAACCCTGTAATCCGAGTCCATACTATTTCGGTTGTTTGTGTTGAGCCGGATTCTATCGAGCTAATGGCTCAACCCCTACCCAGCCAACCGATAGCCGATTCTTGGCTTGTTGCCACCACTATTGCTCTTGAACTTGCCACCACTATACCTTGCCGGCCTCTGAAAGATTACAAGAAAATCTACACTCCAGCGGCTCTTGCCAAGTACGGCATCGCAATCACAACAACTGAGATTAGTTATAAAGAGGACCGAAATGACCTACAAAACACGCTGAACGTTTTTGACAATATAAATGCTTGGTCGATAGGAGTAAGCATAGATGCTCAGGCGAATGATATCATATGCTGTGGTGAAGGCCTGAACATTCCTGAATGGATGCCTCAAGAGAAATTACACATTCAACTCAGCCACAACCGCCTATCCCATATGCTCACGGGTTACCAAAACGCTGGTTACGTAAGCTTTTGCCAGAACATACGCTATACTGATATCTTAATTGTTGGTTATACAGCCCCGCGTATTGGCAGCACTGATAAGTGCATCGATCTTTTAGATTTATTCCAGAATATCACGGCTCAAAGCCTTACGATCCAAAATGTTCGCGATAAGAAACAAAAGACCACCGAATTTGACCCAAACAGTCTGCAGGCCGAACTTGCAACAAAACCTAAGTATCTTCTCAATGTTGAAACTTTAACGCTAAATAGTGTTGATGTTAAAATCATCTACTGGATGTTGGGACATTACGATTTAACCTGCCTGAGAAAAGTCTACATTAAAAACCAGAACTTCACCAATCTGGCCATCGCCCAGTTCCTTTCTCATCCCGCTGCCTTCCACATCAAATGTTTAGTACTTGATGATTTCCTTGGTCTAAGTGAAATTCAAAACTACAAGAAACAAGAGCCGCTCAATAGCTTCTCGCTGTTTACTTACGTAGAACAAGCCCTGCAAAACGGCAAGACTCTCAAGGATCTTGCTTTGAACAAACTGCTCTTGCAACCGGCTAACGTTGATTACACTTTGCATAGTGAGGTATTGTCTGTTCTTTGGGGCTATGGTATTCAATTTGTAAGTCTACCATTCAGCAGCTACATCAAAGGTGCCCCAGCTCGGTCTAGCCTAGCTAACACAATGACTATGGAGAAGCTTACCCTTTATAACGCCACGCTGGATGTCTTAGCATCTGATTTCACTAGGTTTCAATCCATTGCTCAGTCCAAGCTATATTCGGCCCAAAGAACCTCTGTTGAGAATCTGCACATATGCTTCAGCAATACCAGCATATTAGCTGTGGATGTTTTAGTGACTATTATTCGCTGGGTGGCTTATCAATTCAAGGATCTAGTCTCATTACGATTGAAAGGTGTTAAGATATCAAAAGCTGGACAAAGGTTGATGACTTCACGAGATTACATCATTGCTGGTCTTGAGTCACTCAATAGCATTCAACTGGATGGAGAAAATCCACGTAGTCGTCCAATTGAGCTGTTAACCCGGCCATATCGCATTAGTCCGGTTGTGCTGGTCTCCCAACCCAAACCTGCATTCATTGTGATGAAATCTCACATAGCATCACAGCTTATTGATCACCTTGATAACCTTGATAAACTCTTCCCCGCATCCGATATCCCTAACACAGTGCCACAAATAATCCTAAGGAACCTCAAAGATACAAATCCCACTATCACCTGTTCAATCTGCTATCGACAACTTAATCTGCTAAGAGAAGAAAAGAATACCAACCCCGACTCTAAGAACTCCAATCCAACGGTCAAACCCAACGACTATTTTACGACCATTTGCTATACCAAATGTGGACATTCTTTCTGCAATGATTGCATAGTTGATGCCCAGAAATGTGTAGGTAAAAAGTGTTCTTATTGTCGAAGTGCATATGTAACCGATGATATTCAACGGCTTATAAGTCTTCCTCAATCTAGCTTTATTGTTACTAAGGGCAGTCTCCATTTATCTGCTACCGAACACCAACAAATACATAATCTGGCCGGGTTTAATGGTCAAGTTTATGTGTACGTCGCCGACCGGTACCCAACCAACCTTGCCGATGACCTCGCCATCAAAGTCACCAGTAGCACCTTCCGCAATATCTACATCATTTGATTGGGTTTGCGTTGTGTTGTGTTGCGTGGTGTGATGTGATGTGATGTGATGTGGAGTTATGTTACTTTGGTATTTAAATTGGGTTATATCCAATGAATAAACAGCTATTTGGCATATTTGAAAGCATTAGAAAGTAATGAGATTAGTAAGAGATTAATGCTACCGTCTTAATACTATATCAAGATACTCGGGTTAAGTTTCCCTCAATGCCAACTAACTCAATATCAACTAACCCAATACAAACTAACCCAATAAATCATCTCCTAACCCAAGACCAACTCAAACTAATACCAAACTAACCCACACTAACAGCATGCAATGGTTTATGCCCATAATACACTGCATACACTACATACACTGCATTAACTACTCATTGGCTGAATAGTACCGCTCAGGGGATGTCTTCCCCTAATTGACCTTCTAGTCTATACTACTTTGAATATTTACAATGAATGGTAGTGGATACTCTGGACACCACAATACTACAATATCAGTTTGATATGACAAATTCTTTTATTCTTCCACACTAATTGTTGTTCTTGTGATTTGCTAATTGATAGTCAATAATTACCTAAAAAGGAAAAAAAGTGTTTAAGTAATGAGGAGTCAAAAGTTAGTATGAAAAACTTTGCAATTTGTTGCTCTCTCTTGGGAGGTTTTGTACTTAGCTTTGGATTAATATCATTGTTTGTAAAGGAACGACTCTATATTGCCGAAACGGCAGTTGCTACTATCTTTGGTATGGTCTGTCGCCAGTTCTTATCTGGTGGTGAGAATGATGTTTTGAAAGATAACTTATCTAATTCGACTTTTGTCTTTCATTTTGCCCATATTGTTCTAGCCTTACAGTTAGTAGCTGTAGGAGTAACCGTACCACGAAGCTTTATGCGCAAGAATTGGCGACCTTTAACTGCTTTATTGCTACCAGTAATGACTATTATGTTTGCCATCTCAACTGTCATTATTAAGCTAGTTGGTAATTTAAGCTGGAAGACAGCTATGACTATTGGTGCATGTGTAACTCCAACCGATCCGATTCTAGCCAGTACAGTACTGAAAGGTAAGTTTGCCAATAAGTACATTCCTTCTCGGCTTAGATATCTTTTGGCAGTTGAGAGTGGAGCTAATGATGGATTAGGATTTCCTATTTTGATACTTCCAGTTTTGTTCATTAAGTACGAAGGAACACCTAATCATGTCAAAACTGCACTTTGGGAATGGACTTTGAAGACTTGGGGATTTGAAATCTTTTTGGCCGTTATTCTTGGTGCTATTATTGGAATGTTAGCTCGAGTGCTTTTAAAGTATAGTATTAAGCGTTTGTTGATTGATAAGGAAAGTTTTTTGGTTTATTCATTAGCTTTGGCTATTCTAGTGACTGGAGTGACGTCACTTATTAAAAGTGATGATTTATTGGCTGTGTTTGTGGCGGGAGTGGCCTTTGCCTGGGATGAAGATATGGTGCGAGATATGAAGAACTCACATGTAATTGAGGTGGTTGATATGATTTTTAATCAGTCTTTCTTTATTCTTTTGGGACTAATCTTCCCTGAGAACATCTTTACGTTTACTAACTTAGCTACTGGGTTTTTAGTCGTACTGTTCCGGCGACTACCGGCGGTCTTTTTAATGAAACTATGTAAATTACTCCCTGGGTTCAGCACGAAAGAAACGATCTTTGCTGGGTGGTTTGGTCCAATTGGAGTTGGGGCGATCTTCTTTGCCCACCATGCAGCCCATGAACTGCACAACTACTCGGCAGAAATTAACGACCATCTTCTTTGTATGGTCTATGCCATCGTTTTTACTAGCATTATTGTGCATGGCACGACCGCCCCGATCATCCATCTGCACATGCGCCGTAAACAACGGCAGAACAAAGCCAATCTCTATGAATCGGATACCGAAGTAGAAAGAGATATAGATACACCTAATCTCCGGCTGATTGCCTAATTGAATTAGATATACTTGTTTAGAATAGATGGGTTGGTATTGGGTTAGTTTTGGGCTGGGCTGGGTTTATCTGTCTTTTCTCAATACTAATTCAACCCAATGCATTGGTTCTTATATACAGTAATAAAGATACATTAATAACTGGCTTACTCTTTAGTATGGCTCTTAGTATGGGTTGGTATTGTGTTAGTATTATCTTGGTGTTCACTAACTGTCTTATTTATGAAATGGTACTAACTTAATGCTACCCTAATCTCAACTTAATACTAACATAATACTACCTTAATCTCAACTCAATACGATTTACACATTAGTTGGTTTAGTATTGGTTTGGTATTGGGTTCTAAAAACAAACTCAACCCAAACTCAAATTCGAATAGGGTTGGATTCGTATTTTAGTTTTCAAGATAATACTTGGGTTAGTATTGGGTTGGTATTTGATTGAGTTAGTATTAGATTGGGGTATTAGATGGGGATATTAGATTGGGGGATATCAGAGAACATAATAAAGAGATGTAGTATACCAGAGCCACAAGATGATTAAAAACAGTATGTTGTTTAATTTATACAACTTAATCTCATAACCAAACTAACCTACTACTCACTATAATATCATAGCTTTACAGGTCAACAACAATTTAGTAGTCAGACAAGTAATCATACCTTCATATCATACAGACAATAACATTCTTTACTAGTATTTATTTAGCACAATCAGATTTCA